TACATGGTTTAAATTTCACAGGAGCCATGAGGGAAGTTTAACTTGATGGCAGGTAAGTGTCGTGGGTCCTTCTTTTGATAACGCAAAGTACTTTGAAAAACACTGGGATCAAATGTATGGCTCGGCCAGCTCCGTACATCTGCTACCCATATTCGAAGGAGTTGGTTGTGAAAAAAGCATCCTAGATTTTGTCTCAGAAGACTTGTATTTGAGCTCCAGTTTTGTTCCTTGGTAGTACTGTGACCCTAAACTGTCTACACCCAATTCTCCAGATCTGTGAAATTGAAACAGTAAAAATGTTCTCTCCTGAAGCCCAGGATTGAAAGAAGGTGTGACAATGCCTTGTAAACTGTAGAGCTCCATTTGAGTGTAGGTGGTCCCTATTTTCATAATCACGTGTGAGACTGATTGAACATCGTGATGACATTTGTATTGTATTGGTTGGTTCCTCTAGGATTTTCTTCTTCCATTGGAAAAAACGTATAGCTGAAGCATCTACACACATTTTCCTATAAAATTATCCATTTGCTACAAGGCCACCAGGGTCAGGCCCAGTGAATGGTTGGGTCAAAATGTTTCTCTTTGGGTTCTGTGTTTTGCATTGTTTGAGGCCACATGGTGTAATAGTCTATAAGCAATGTGGTGTGTGGGTGTATTGTGTGGTTCCCAACTGACCTGATACACCCGTTCTCTTTAGCTGGTCATGCACCAAGACTCTTTCCTGACCCAGAATGTGGTCCCAGCTGAACTTACATAGCTGATAAAATCTCACTCTACTGCCCAGAGATCTGTGGGGTCACTTCTGGTGGAGCTGGGGTCTCAAAAGAGGGTTCTGTGAATGTAGGTTGTCCATGGCTCCCACGAACAGCCCTCTTTCCTACAGACCTGGTTCTCATGCCTTGCCATTTTGACATCTTTTCTACTGATGTTCTTGGATTCATGCTGTTGAAAAATCTGTACCATTTTTTAACACACTACCTGCTCCACTCGAAATACCCTGCCCTTTGTAACTTGAGTCAACGATCTCGAGTGGTTGTAGCTGGGCTATTTCCATTCCAATCTCCCACACACACCAATTTGGCTCAGTGGACTGGTTCACTCTAGACACGTCCTTTGCCTGGGAAATCTGCCCATCTAGAAGTGAATTGAGATTTTTGCAGGTGATAACTGCTTCCATGGACTTTCTAATGCTGAATTAAAGGAGAGAGGTTTGAGAATAAAAGCCATTCAGTGGTAGTATTTGCCTGGACTCCAGGGTGCAAAAATAAATCATTGTGTGCAGGTATTCTTTTCTTTCCCGTGTGACAATAGCAGTTAGATATTTAACACTATCAAGTGGAGACTGTGTTATCTTTTTTTTTTATTTTTCATTTGGATATTTTAAGTCATAGAGACAGAGTTTAAATGTCCTGTTGTTGAGATGTGGGGGATTTTTGTCTGGTTTGGTTTGGGTTTGGGTTTTTATTTTTTTGAGGTGTGTTAATCTGGGTCGATTAAATAGGTCACTCTGTTGAAAATCAATGTGTACCTGAAGTTGACTGTGAATATGCTGTTTAGCAAATTGTCTTTGAGAGTTTAAAAAAGGTAAACATTCACATGGTGTTTTGTGGTTAGGGGATGCGGGTGATATACCAGCAATTAATTGTCACAGTGTATTAATGCACTTGAAAACAGCAGGGAAAAAATGGATTTTGTTTAAAAACAAAGTTCTAAGGCAGTGACTGCTGTTGCCCCAAAGGCATCCAAAGCAGAAAGTGTCTGTGATGGCCAAGCTGGTCAGAAGACATCCGAGATCCAGGCTAAAGGCGCCAAGAAAAAGCACCTGGATAGCCCCAGGCTAGGACTCGCCTTTAGAAAATTCTTTAGGCATAAGGTCTGTATCTTGGTAAACTAGGAGGAAAAAGAAGAACCCTGGTCTTCACCACACGATTCACGTGCCATCCTGAGCCCAGCCAGCTCCTCTCCTGTGAAAACAGAGCTTTGGGTGGCTGGGATCACTAAAGGAGAATAAAAAATGATGTGAATCCCACTTTAGTGATTTTTTTTTCCTAAGTCCCCATAGTTATAAATATCTCAGACTGGTTTCTTCCTAGTGTGGACCAGGGTTCTCTGAAAATATTCATCTAATCCAGTATTTCCCAAATGTCAGTCGTTTGCATACCACCATTTTCACTAGATATCCAATTATTTACTTGATATTTTCATACTGAAATTGACCCATTTCCTATTTAAATGTATCACAAAAAGAAACCTTGTATCATGCATAGAAAATCAGAATTATTTTTCATAAGACAAAGGTAGCCATTAGTATGGCTAATAAAAAAAAACTGTTGAATTCTAGCTACTTTGTTAGTGTTAATCTCTGAATCTGATGCTCTTTCTAGCTTTATTAAAAGGCAATTAATTGACCAGTGGTAGAAAAATGTTAAAGACATACCAGCACCAGACTGAGACTCTCCCCGGAATGTTATTAGAAGAATTAAATGAAAGTTGAAAAGTATTTTCACGTAATGTTACTTAATAGCATATCTCTATACAATCTAAAATCATCTTGATCCACCAATGGTATGCTTCCTGCACTTTGGGAAATACTCTTCTAACCTCAGGATAACAATTGTATCTTTCTGTGGTCTATTTCATCCATTCATAATATTAACTAAACTTATACTGAACCCAGATGAAATCCCAGGCAGAAAAAAACAATGAATGAAGGCAGAGCCGGTTATAGCTCCATGTTCTTGGGAAGCTAAGGCAACATCAAAGTCAGTTTTGGAGATATTATGCTTCTAATGTCTAAGAAGGTGCCGGGGTTTGTCTGAAACCACTAATTTAAAAGATCCCTGAATTGGGTCAGTGTGTTTAAAATTTTGTTTAAAATAGCAACCACTTTCCACCAAGTCGAACGAACATATTAATAAAACTTCCCCAGCTGGATGTTATAGTATCAGAATTGTTTATGCAAATAAGAGCTGCATAGAAATTTCTCATAGCTGAATCTGCATTTGCATTAAAAAACTATGTTATGAAGCCACGCTGCAATTTCCATACAGGCTTTTTTTGTTTCGTTAAGAGAGAGTGATAAGTATTGCAAGGGGAGGAGGGAAAATTAAAATGTGGTCCAATGGGATATGGAAGACAACTTAGTAACTGCTAGTGAAACGTGTCATAAATCTCATATGAAGGAATCTAGTTTAACTCCCACTTGGAGCTCTTGTGAGTAGAGGCCTTGAACATTTAAGAAGTGTATGACTTTCCCCCAGATCTGCATTTCATTATGACATTCATTTTTTCGTGCACTGCAAAATTTCACGACTGCAGTATCCCTTGCCACCCATAAATGGACCACCCAAGCTCGATG